GTAATTTTATATAAGCATGCTTCAATGTTGTCTTTTTCTGCCTTTCAAGGGATATAGACTATAGTCAAAGGCCCACTGAGTAAAATTTTCCAAAGGCGACTTTTTGTTTACTAATTGCTTTTATTGTTAAATCTTACTTTAATTGTTCAGTAATGGTGTCAAGCTTTAAAGTTTTGTACTTTGTCAACTTAAGTTGAATCTTCATTTAAAGAAAACCATTTCTTGAAATGTGCAATTAAAGTTTAACACCTTGAAGTAAAATCCAGCTTCCCTCTCCAAGACCAAATAAAACTATCAAATGAGCAAGTCACAAGTAACCAGGAGTATGAGTAGGTCTTTCAGTGGCATCATATGAGCTATCAAAGTGAAAGTGAGAAGCGGTGACTTTCTGGACCAGATTTAGGCTGCAGGAAAATCAGTCATTCAAGCTGGGGGAGTAGCGGGGGAGTGGGTACTGAAACCAGCAGGTTCTTTCACCCTCACAGCAGATCTGCGTATAAGTGGTGGTGCCTCCGTTTTTTTGTAAGTGAAGATAATGACTCAAAAAAGGTTGCAGGAACAGTTCCTGATAGTGCTGGGATTAAACTCGAGTTCTCTCCTTGGGTTTTGTTACTCTACAACTGAAATTCTACCAAAACTTTAGAGATGCTAGTTTCCACGTCCAGTGTACTCTGCTGGCAATTTCTTCTACTTCACTACTTTCCACCTAAGAATTCTAACATTTGTAGGATCCTGTTGTTTTATGCCCTTAATTTAAATTCACGTTTGTGCAAGATATTGTTACTCTCTTTGGATCTGAATAATTTTAAGGATTTCTTGTTTTCTTAATATTGTGCTGAAGTAGAGTGAAGCTTTAAATATATAAAACTTTAATTCTTTTTACAGTGGAGAGTAATTGGCAAACTGGGAAAAATTTGGGTTATGTATAATGTGGATTAAACCTCTTACAAATTTATAAGGTTTCCAATAGATAGGCAAAAGATACAATTTATACAAAGCAAGTAAAATAACAAGCATTCTTTCACATTATTTGTTAATACACAAAGAAACAAAAACCAGCTTTTAAATACCAATGTATTCGTACTCAGGAGGAAAAACACACACCCAAAACAATAAGTTTTAGTAATTATGGGGGACATTACAAATAGTCCTCCCTTTTTTAAAAGCTATATGGCAACATGGAGTGAACTATAAAACTCTTGATAAATTTTAACCTAGGTATGCCTGTCCTAACAAATTATCCTAAAAACATCATTGAATACAATATGCACAAATATATTCCTTTTGGCTTTATTTTAAATAGGAAAACCTTGGATTCAATCTAAATATCTAACATTAGGTGAATAGTTTATTATTGAATATCATGCAGTTATTGAAAAGATAGAGTAGAAAATAAGCAGCTTATTATAAAACACATATACTGATGTGAAACCTATCAGTATATATTTCTATATATAATGATAGCTTATGTATTTTTCATATGTGTTACACAGAATAGAAAGAATATGTAGAAATTAAAATTGTTTATGTGTTAGGGTGCCGGGGTTGCAATTTTTAAATTTTATCCTTAATTTTAAGAAAACGTCATTTCTGCTTGTATCCTACAATTCTTTTTCTCCTATCATTAGCTCGCAAAACAGATTTACAAAGTATTTGTTTCTCCCTCTCTATTAAACTCCAAAGAACCTTCTTCATTCTTCTTTCCTAAGCAGTAATGATGATAAATTATCATTTTTAATTCAATATTGTTAACATTATTTAGGAAATAACTTTTGAGATTAGGAAGCTTCCAACAAGGTCATTAAAATGTGTTTATTTTTTAAAAATTTATTATAATGTACTGCACATACAGAAAAGTATATTAAATGTCATTTTAAAGCTTAAATTATTATAAAGCAAACACCTCTGTAACCACCATCCTGGTCAAAAAAAAGAATGTTTCCATTACCTCAGAAATGCCTCCTGACTTTTATGGTAGTTTAAGTATATATCTCCTACACATTTTAGTTTTGCTTGCTTTTGAACTTTATACAGAGATGTGCTAGTTTTCTTAGAAATAAGAAATAAGTCTTTTTTAGAAATAAGACTTTCTATTAATATAGGTTTTATGAAACTTTTACCTGTGCTTTTCTGTTTCTGACTCGGTCTTAACTCTGGCTCTCATAGGAGAGAACATTTAGTAAATGCGTCATGGGTTTCTCTTCTTTTATTAATTGAGTTGCTTTATTCACAAAATTAATCTACTTCTCTTAAAACTAGAATACGTTTCTTTCATTATCCTTCTAATCCAAAGCTTCTTGATCATTTCTGCTAATCTAAAATCTTTAGAAGTGTATTTCTTTTCACTGTGAGTTTCCTTATATAGAATATGACCATGAGCAGACGTAATCATTTGCTTTACAAATTTACAAAAATTTTTAGGTAATAGAACTATTTAGCAAAATAAAATGTCTGAAACTATAGATTTAGTCAAATAGAAAACTAATTACTTTTTAGAAAAACTCATTCTGCAGCAGATCTTAAATATTTCAAAATCATTTAAATTTTGAGTCTTGCAGGGGAAAGGTAGAACACATTTAGAACAAAAGCAATTTAAATATCTTTTTAGAATGCCTTATCTCAAACCATTTTCCACAATGCTAAGATTGGCCTGGTTTCAGGATTTTTAACCCAAAACTTTAGATTTTAAAATCATAAAAACTCTTTATATTTGTATGGTGCTTTTATAATTTGGTTACACAAACACAATTTCAGTTGGTTCTCTCAATTATATATTGTAAGAAAAACTTATTAAAACTCTATTTTATTATAATTTCCATGAAGAGTAAATGTAGACCACGGAGGGATGTTTGTTTGACTTGTCTATAGTCACAGGACTAATGAAAGGGTAACTGAACCATAAACATTCATATCCCACTTAAATTTTTGTTGTTTTTTTCCTGCCACAAGACCAGCTGTTATTATGATAGACAGTTGGAAACTAGGCATCTGAAGAAGTCCATATTGTAAAGCAAGGTCAGTTTTTCCAGTCTAGTTTGATTAAGTTTATTTATTTATTTATTTTTTAATACTAGCAACATTTAAATATGATTAGTTGAAAATTTAGGTGAGCCCCATGCTGAATGAATAAACAGCAGTTCTTTAAAGAAGAAATCTTGTTTCTGTGCTTAAGATTAATGACCCATATGTCTTAATTTTTAGCTTCTTTAAACTTTTAAGATTTCAACTTCCATGGTGAAGAAACATTAGGCAACTTCTGTTTGAGGGAGAAAGTGAGAGTTGTACTTTTAGTCACCTGTGGGGTATATGCCTGGGCCAGCCTTTGCCTCTTAATAAAACAGGGTAAGTTGACTTGAAAGGAAGTTGTCTGACAGAGAGATCTTTTATGTCCTTTAAATGAGTAGATAAGGATTTGTAATTAAGGCATTTAATGATTGAGCACCTTAGTAGTTGTGCAAATATTTTGTTGAATGGATGTTAATGGATATTCATAAGGCACTTAGAAAGCATTTCTGTTTCTCTTAAGTAGATTATCCCATGTGATCTGAGTACAGTAGGTCCCCTCTTACCTGCAGTTTCACTTTCCACCATTTTAGTTACCTACAGTCCAACAAACATTATTAAACCAGAAATAAACAATTCATAAGTTTTAAATTGTTCAGCGTTCTGAGTAACATGGTGAGATCTCAATGTGAATCATCCCTTTGGTCCAAAGTATCCACACTGTATGCTACCTACCTGCCCATTAGTCACTTAATAGACATTTGGTTATCAAATCAACTGGTGCTATCACATTGCTTTTTGTCCAAGTAACCCTTATGGTAGCCTAATGCTCTTTCATTCACCTCACTTCATCTCATCACATTGGCATATCATCCCACATCAGAAGGAGGGTGAGTACAATAAGATTTTTTTTTTTCCCCTTTTAATTTCCCCCCACCCCCACCCCACTTCCACCCCTGACCTATGGATGTTGCCTTCTTCTTTTTTAAGAACTGGATCTCTGAAGGCAGGGCATCTCCCCACCAATGCAAGCTTGCGGTGCACACCCAGGGCCTGGCTCACCCGGGGCCTGGTGCACCCAGTGTATGGTCTGTGTGGGTCCACCTGGGGCACGAACCCAGGACCTTCTGTGTGTAAAGCAGACATACTCATCACTACACTATGGAGCCACCCCCACAATAAGATATTTTGAGAGACCATATTCACATAACTTTTATCACAGTATATTATAACTGCTATTTTATTATTATTGTCAATCTCTTACTGTGCCTAATTAATGAATTAAAATTTATCATAGGTATGTATGTATACAAAAAAAAAAAACATAGTATATATAGGTTTCAGTATTATCCACAGTGTCAGGCATCCGCTGAAGGTCCTGGAACATATTCCCCATGGATAAACGGGGACTGTTGTGTAGCATTTATTAGCAAAATCTTTTCTAGATTAAAAAAAAAAAAGCAGCTATAGTTTAATTTTTTTGCAGCCCAATGCTTTATTTAGTGGTATATGAATAACGAAGTTTCCCTATAGTTTTATGTTCTGATTCTTTTGGTTGTTATGGATATCTTTGAAAAATTTAGGCCAAGGAATTATTCCTGTTATATTTATCAAACTTACTAATATATAGTAGATGAATCCTTAACTACTTTGATCAAACGATGTATAAATTTCAGTTTTTGCTGTTAATTCTATAGACCACATGAAAACTAAGCATGTCATAATGTGATAGTATTTTGAACGCCTGGTGAAGATTCTGAATAAATATGGTTTTAATATGTGGGCACTAAGTATTCTATATAAAATATTTACTGACATTTTATTGTAATTACTTCTGGCTTATACCTTAAGTCAATTTCTGTTTCAAGCAGATGTGAAAATAGAAGTTAGTAGTCAAATAGAAATAGAAATGTGGGATTTGGATTTTTGTGGATTTTAGATGTGTACTTTTTTTTTTTTTTTTTGCTGTATTAAGGAAAAATTCTTTTTAATTTTAGTAAAAAATCCCAGAAGTGGGATGAAATGAACATCCTGGCGACATATCACCCAGCAGACAAAGACTATGGTTTAATGAAAATAGATGAACCAAGCACTCCTTACCATAGGTAATGTTTTATAGACATCATTCCTTTTTTGACTTGTTTACATTTTGCATTGATGTAAACTTCTGTATAACAGCTGATTTGAAGTTGTATATGTTTTATATTTATTACTAGAGGAATAATTAATAACCCAACTGCATATTTTTGTGTAATAATATAAGTAGTATGTAACTCTAATTGTGGGATCCATTTCGTACATTATAACTGTAGTAGTTAATGTTGATTTGTTGCACGTCAGTGGTCTCTAGCTGCTAATGATGCACAGAGGCTAGTGACTTTTGCCCTCCTTAAGATAATCTTTACAAAAGAAGTTGAAGATTGGACTCATTTGCTTCTTAACTAGAAATCAGGGTCTTACTCAGTCTCTGCAGAAAAGGATAACTTCACAGATGGTAACTTTTTTAACCCATTCAGAGACACAAATGGTCATTACTACTCTTGATATCCTTAATTTTGAACTTATATCATATTGTAGTTCAGCTAATTACATTGTAGTTGTTGGCAGTTTCAAGTCTTCCAGAATTTTTTACTGAATTTTAAAATAATAATGTGTGGCAGTGATGAGTATAAAGACAAAAATAATGTACCAATAAGCATTATGAGAAGATGGAGTTCTAAAAAAGTAGAAATACCTAATTCAGATCATGCCCTAACTTGTATTGAAAGAAATAAAGATTTCCAGAACTGAAATATTTTGTTATGAAAGTAAGACAACATAAATCCAGATGTTATTGTTAAAATAGAGTTAAGAAATTATGTGTTTTAAATCAGTGGATGAAAATTTTGGAAGAAAAGTTGAGATAACTTGATAATAGTAAAAACAAGAATAAACATGAAAATTGTAGCATGAGTAGAAAGAAATAATAAAATAGGTACAGATACTGAAACCCCAATGTTAATAAACTTAAGGGAAGAAATAGACACATCATTTACAAAAAGTTCATATCCTTATTTTTCTCCTAATTATAGGCATGTACTTTAAAACATATCTTAAAACTTCTTTTGTACCAGAAGCCAGTCAGGGCTTTCTTCCTTTTCAATAAACATAGTAGATATCCCTTGCTTATCTGTGTTGGTTGGAGATAACTATCTTAAAAGTTAAGATCAAACATGATTTAAAAAAAAAAATAACTGTAGCCATTATGTTTCGACTTTATGTTTAAAATATAATAAATCAGAATGTTAGATATTTGATACTACTTTGTTTCATTCTTTACCTTACCCATATTCTTCCTCTGAGAGTCCCTAAAGTTATTTGGTTCCTAAGTGATTGATGTATATGTACAGTTATATGTGCTCAGCTTTTATCAATTTACTGCTCAGTTTTACCAATTTCTTTTATGCCTTTTTTAAGAGTTTTATTTAACAGAAAAAGATGCTTTTTATAGAAAGATCATGTTATACTATTTAGGAATTTCACATGCTAATATAAAAGTTATTGCTTTTTATACATACATAAACATATAATTCATCTGTAAATTTGTAGAATTTTCTACAGAAAAATTCTACAAATTGATAATTTTACCCTACTTGACTTAATTATATCCAGTAATGTAAATGTATTTATTTAAGCTTCCCTTGTAAAAAAGAGCATCATCTAAACTATAGCACTTATTTAACTTGTCTTTATTAACTAGGAAAGGTACAAACCAGCAATCTATATATATATATGTAGCTGAATTCTACCTCATTGGTGCCTTGAGAATTAAAGATGCCCATTTTCGGAATTAAGTGGGGAGCAAATTTTTCATTAAAGAATAGATTAAGAAAGCTAAATAGCTTTTAAACTTTCCGAATTAGGTCTTTAGGATCTAATTTTGTTATTTTACCTAACCTCTTGTCTGCATAGATCATTCGTCTCTATCTTCAGGTTGAAGTAACAATATATATTCTAAAATCAGGTGGTGCGGATGCATTATTTATTCCCTCCCACTGGATGGAGTAATTGAAATATTTTTTTTTTTTTCAGATGATTCGAGTTTTCAGTATTTATCTTCATAGTTGGAGTAGTGGTTTTTAAAATCATTTGAAGGTTTTTCTTGATTGGGACTATAGTTTTAAATATTTGCTTTGAATAGAAACTAAAATTAAACTTCAAAGATGACAACAGAGCTATAAATATTTTGATATTTTAACTTTTTAAACTAAGTCAATAGGATTATATTTATTTTTCTGCTTGAAAAGTTATATATTTCAGGTATTAATTATAATCTGCTTGTCATCCTAGTATGGTAGGTGACGATGAGGATGGATTGAGTGATTCAGAAAACACTGAAGCCCTGACCCCAGATATATTAGCTAAGAAGTAAGTACTGATGGCAATAAAACATTTTTACTTATGCTGTTTTTAATTCTGCAGAGCTAAACACATTTTACTTTAGTTGTACAAGTGTAAATAAAAAGCATGTGCTAAGTTTATCTGGATTTTCATAACAACTTATATAACCTTATTTCTAGATTTAAAAAATCAAGATATTCAGGTAGCAGAAAGATTAGAGTACCAAGCCTAGTACACAGATTCCCTGTGTCAGTTCCCTGTGGATTTTTTGTTTGTTTTATTTTGTTTTTTAGTATCCTGCCTCCTAGATTTTAAAGGTGGAAGTGAGAAAGGCAAAAATAAGTGAATTCCTAAACAAAAGCTCTATTCTTTTACTGTTTATCGATTTGTCACCCTCCACTTTTCTTGTTGTTTGTTGGTTTCTACACTAACGCCTGCTCACTTGCTTTTTATTTTCCTCATCAGGTTATAGCTAGTATATTAATGATCCGTAGATGTTTTTATGAGACTCAAAAGTTGAAAAAGTCACTCAACTAATATAAGAATATCAGTGTTGATTTCTTTGTTAAATGATTGTTTAGATTAGCTGCTGCTAAAGGCTCGGAGCCAAAGTGTCAGGTTCATGAACAAGAAAGCAGTGAAGATGAGGACAGTGACCTCTCACCTGAAGAACAAGGTAGTTTATTTACCTTTTGCTTTCAGCTTATGCTAATAATTTTTGTTAAGTTCATTCATTATTTGGAAGATAGTTTTCCTTTTGGGGAAGTGGGTAGTGGGTAATTTTAAAGTTCAGGTTCCATTTGTGTGGGTTTATTGTATAACAGCTTTCCCCCCACCACCCCAGCTTCAAGAATTTGGGAAAATATTACTATCTTTAAAGTAATGATTAGTGTTCCTTCCTTTGTACTTTTTTAAGTGCCTATATAGAGTTAGATGCTCAGTAAATGTTTATTAAATTAATGCTTTTAGAGTCATTGAGTGTTTGGATGATTTTAAAGCAGGTAGAAGTAAAAGCTAATTTCCCAGTTGCTTGTGCTTTTTCTGTTTTAAGACATGGTAAAACTTAACAAATGAACCAAGATAGTCAGACATAGTGTGAAGATTCTTATTAGGTCCTATTGAACAACAACAAAAAAAACTAGTGTTAGTAACCTAAGAGCCCGTGCCCATCAATAGATGATTGGATGAAGAAGTTATATAGATACAATGGACTACTTGGCCATAAAAAAAATGAAATCTTAACCATTTGCAATGACATGGATGGACCTAGAGAGTATTATGCTAAGTGAAATAAGTCAGACAGAGAAAGACAAATACCATATGATTTCACTTAATATGTGGAATCTAAAGAACAAAATAAATGAACAAACAAAATGAAAACAGACACATAGATACAGAGAACAAACTGGTGATTGCTAGATGGGAGGGGAGTTGGGGGACTAGGTGAAAAAAGTAAAGGAATTAAGAAGCACAAATTGAGAGTTAGAGAATAGATGTGAAGTACAGCATAGGGAATATAGTCAATAATGTTGTAATAACTATGTATAGTGCCAGGTGGGTACTAGACAAATCAGGGGGATCACTCTGTAAATTATATAAATGTCTAATAATATTAAATTTTAAAAATTGTTTTTAAATTAAAAAAAAAAGTTTCTCCCCTAAAAATAAAATCTAGATTGAAGAGAAAAAAAAAAAAAGTAGGAAAGGAGATAAAGACAACCTCTCAACAAGGATGGAAGAGGCTCTTGTAGCCTCTACAGCATATGCACAGTTAAGGCATTACTACCTACTTGTGGTTTCTGTTTTTACAAGTAACAGTGGTTATCTTTGGAGGTAAAGAGAGAAGGAAGATGTTTCACCTTGTTGCTTTTTATACTTTTTTGAACCTTGTGAAGTATAATCTTAAGAATTAAAAATTATCTAGTTTATTTTCAGCTATTTTAAAAGGAAAAACCAAGCCTGTGTGTAGGGGGGAAAAAATGGAAGAAAAACACATACATCCTCACAGAAAAAGAGAAAGAGTAGTAGTGTACTTGAAACCTTGAAATGTGGGGACTACCTATACTGTAAAGAAGTTCGTAAACTTTAGAACTAAGATTCCGAATATTTGCTAGTTAACTGTCAGAATCTTTGTCATATGTAGCTGCTAAGGTATAATTTGCTATTCCTTCCTGTAATCTTCAGAATATAGGTTATTCAATGTAACTATGATGGTCTGAGCCTAATTGTTGTATAAGAGAGAAATTTTACATGTAGCATAATCTCAAGTTGTATTCTCTCCTACCCTCAGCGACTTCTTGACTTATTTTCCCAAAGTATACCCTAAAAGGCTTTTGAGAAGTGTTTCAAATAGAAATTGTTTCTAGAGCTCGTTCCTTCATTTTTCTTTAAAAACATGATCTATTGAGAAAAAGGAATTTGTTATTAACCTATGCTAACCTATAGTTTTCCATGTACTTCATTTTTTCCTTCTACAGGGACAGTTTTATTTTTATTCTGAATTAATTTTTTTTTCAGTTCTAGTTGACATTCAATATTATTTTATATTAGTTTCAGGTGTCCAACATAGTGGTTAGACATACACTGACATTTTCATTAAGGAAATTTTCCTCTAATTGTAGTTCCATGAATTAACCAGCAGGGGGAACCATTGAATAGTTACAATTTCACACATTCAGTTCTTGTAGAGTTACTGATGCCGATGTATAGATGTCTATTGCTTTTAAACAAATTATGTCTGAAAACCCTTATTTATTGATAGAAGTTCTTAGGAAAAATTATCTTGTAACTGATAGCATAACAGGCTTTTGGCTATGAGGTCAGACAGATCTAAATTTGTACTCAGATATGTCACTTGTCTAATTTGCTTAATTTCTGAGCTTTGATTTCCTCATTTCTAAATTGAAAACTAAAAATATTTAGTCTTTGGTGAGTATTAAATTAGATAATTTAAAGCATTTAGCATTAAATGATTCTTGGCATATTGTAGGTGCTCAGTAAATATTAACTTAATAACTTAAAATAATTTGTATATTCTCCATTATATTATTTTGTAGACTAGTAAAAGAAAACATAAAAAGGATGATTTCCTTCTATAATCCACATGGTTAGTTGATGATTATTAGAGGTAGGCCTGAAACCTGAATGTTCTTATACTCTGCATTATTTTGCTTTGCCATACAAGGATTGTAAATAAAATGAATATAGAAATTCAGAGATGATTGAGACCACTCATATTAGCAATGAATACGTAGCGCGATTTTAAATTATATAATAAATTTTTATCGCCAAACTAGAGTATATCTGTAACAAGTAAAACCAAGTTCAATATCTCTTAGCATTAAAAAGAAATAATTTTCTTAGACTACAGATATAATTCACAAAAGAGAAATATTGTAATATCAACACCTAGGAACAAGAAACTGCAAATTAAAATAGTGTCATGGTACCTTTCAGATCAATAAAGATTAAAAAGAATGACTATTTCTCTTTTGATGTGACTGTAGTAGAGAAATAGGTTATTCATATATAATTAGTAGGCATGAAAAATGGTTTGGCTTTTCTGGAGTGCATTATGGCAATATATGAGCCAAAAACTTTTTAAAAATGAATCTTTAGATCTAGCAATTCAGATTCCCAGGATTTATTCCAATGCTTTTAAACTCTTTTGACCAAGTCCCACTCAATATATGTATACATAAAATTACAAAAATAAAAGTTTCATAAAAGAGTACTCACCTTTGCTATATGTGATGTATTTCAGTTTATTCTGTTTTACTTCATTTTTAAAAACATGCTGGTTGTGACTCACTAAAGAGTTACGAGGCACACTTTGAAAAAACACTAGTTAGTATTGAGAAAGTAATAAATGTACAAAAATATGTGTATTACATCCTAAAAACATTGAAAATACAAAGGGGGGAATCTGAAACCTTTAACTAAGAATGGGGGATTAAATTATAACTCAGTACTTTATAACCATTTTAAAATTATATAAATGTGCTACGTACATGGCAGAATTTTACTGTCTTTATATACTTTATTGTCTAAACTCAGTCATTTTAAGATTGAAAGAAAGATCAGTATTATAGTTTCATCAGGCAATAGACATAAACTGAAACTTCACTGGACACACAGACTTAGGGTCATCCTAACTATATAATAAGTGAAAAAAACACCATATATTAATAATATATGTTTTGTTTTTATAAAAAATATATTTTTAGAAAAGTCGTCATAAAATATTAATGGTAATTTCTGAGTGAGGAAATTAAGAGTGATTTTTTTTAAGTGTCTACCATGAACTTCTCTTACTCTATAATGAGAAAAAGTATTACCTTTTTAGTAAATTTATCTGGTATTGGAGGCAATTAGAACCATTTTTTTGTTGTTTTTTAATATTGGCTTGCACAGCAACTGAATACTTGAAAGGCATAACTAAAAATTTAGTTATGAGGATTTGGCCCTTTAATTGGTCTCTCTTTTTTAATTTCACATCTCTTAATACAGAACTCTCAAAAAGTAAAATAAACCACAAAGTAATTTTATAAGTAGAGAAGAAGAAAGATGCCTGGCAAGATATTGGTATTTTAAAACAAATGTTTTGGGATGTCGACATGGATATTGGTCTCAGAACTTTCCTGAAAAATGATTAATGAGTAGTGATCTGAACTGTAAATGCTTGTTTTTAAAATATAAATAAGTACAGATAATGATAAAAACAGCAGAATTAGAGGATATTGAGAACATACTTTGAATAGCCTTATTCTGAGAGATTTGTATTTTTCTATGCTTTTTTGGCATTAAGATATTTTTATGAATACCATAATAAAACTGGTGAATGAGTTTTATTGCTCTTATTTGAAAAAACAGGTAGCAATTTTATATCAGTCCCTTTTTTTTATTTTTAATTTACTGGGCTAAGAAATTTTAAAATCTTATAATTATTTCTTTATAAGCAGTTGATCTTTAAAATGCTATTAATAAAATGTGATCAGATGTGTTGATTTGCTGCTAGTTCAGTGTTTCTATGGTGAAGACTATAAATGAAAGAATAGTCTAGAATCACTTTACTATTCCTTATAACACATTTTTCTTAAAATTGTTCTGGGAGTGAGGTTATGTTTTTAGCCAGCAATGTTTTAAATCATAGCAATGTCTGAATGAAGCATAAGACTTTTTAAAGGTATTTTTCTTAATTATAAAAATAGATAACTTGAAAATATTAAAATTACCCTATGGTCCTTGATCCAGAATTAACCATTGTTAATTATTACAACTACTCAACTCTGCCATTGAGAACAAAAGCAACCTTAAGCATTACAAAAGCAAATGAGCGATGCTATGTTCCAGTAATACCTTACTTACCAACAGGCAGAGGCTGTAGTTTGCCAGTCCTTGAGCTAAAGACTTCCTAAACCTATTTTTTTGTGTGTTGTACAGAAAAAAAGCGACAGTTTGAAATGAAAAGGAAGCTTCACTACAATGAAGGACTGAATATTAAATTAGCTAGGCAATTAATTTCAAAAGACCTACATGAGGAGGACGAAGATGATGAAGAAATGTCAGAGACTGCAGCTGGAGAAAGCATGAATGTGGAAGAATCAAATCAAGGTTAGATGTTTCAGAAACATCACTGAGACTCTTGTAGTCCTTTGTGCCTGAATAACATACTTTATTTTGCTTTAAACTTTTGAAGAACCTCAAAATATTTTGCTGAGTTTTGCTTATGCCAAAAGTTTCTAAAATTTCAATCCCTGTGGCCAATTTCAAAATAATGTTTTTTATGCTTAGAGTTGATTTAAGATTGTATATGTTTTATGACTTTTTTAAAAAAATTTATTTGGGTTTAAACAATGATGTTTGTCTTCTTATTAAGCTATATTTTGTTTTTCATGTTTTAGACCCTGTTTTACCTGTCATAATCTAACTTAAGGTTTAAACTTTTTTAAGGAACCATGTTTTTAATATGGAAGATTTCTTTTAACATCCCTTCAAGTACAAAGTATATCATCTTTCCAGCCTTGATTCTTTTGACTGTTGGATTGACAAGTTATTTGGCTGATTTTCGATTTTGTTTTGTGTTGTTTTTTTTTTAAGTCCCGGACGACTCACCCCTGCAGCCTACCAACTTTTGATCAGTCATAGGAAATAGATTTATTTTATTTTATTTTATTTTATTTTATTATTTATTTTAGTAAGTGTTCTTAGTTTTCAAAATTTTCTTATTTTTAATTATTTTTTATTTTATTTTTTATATTTTTAGGCAAGGCAACCCTTGGTTGACCTCACAGATTGCAAGGACTTTGTCAGCTTGCAGTCCCTTATATTTCATTTTTTACACCTACAGCACCTGGTCTTCCTAGGTGGTATCCCATCCAAGTACTAACCAGCCCGACCCTGCTTAGCTTCCGAGATCAGATGGGATTAGGCTTGTTCAGGGTGGCATGGCCGTAGACAGATTTTATTTATTTTTAATAAACTTATTTTGGTATTCAATGAAGGTGAATCTTCTATACTATTAATACAGATTTTGTGCTCATTTTACCTACTCTTTGTACTTGCAAACTGATGCTTTTCGATAGAGATAAAAGTTACTTTATTTGTTGTGCCTTGGATGGCTAAGTCTTAGGAAAGTAAATAGTAATTATATTATCGTTTTGGTGAGCATATATGAAATACGAGTGATTCTGAGTTAGAACCTGATGGCTATGTCTTATAATGTCAGGATTACAGTATTTTCTGCTGTATTAGGCTTTAGCCTTTCGTAGTTTGTTTTATACAGCATTTCATTTCCCATTTTATATGCCATAGTCTGTCTAGCTTATATTTAACTTGAGCAAACTTTATTTTGAGCAATTATTGTTATATGTCTCTCTCTTCCTCTTTTAAAATTTATTATCCATTTTGACCTATCTTCTAATTGGCTTTTGTTTCCCATTTACCTATATATTGGTGATTTATTTTGTTGTATTCAAAGTGAATGTTTCTTTAGTTATGTTTTCATCAATTTCTACTGAGATTTTCAATATCAATTCGTAGTGACTCTGGCCAAGCTCTGGGAATACCCTTAATTTGCCACTGAAAATTTGCACCAGCACTACTGTTCCAAAGGTTAAAGAGGTTTTTTTTTAAGCCATGGCTCTTGAAAAATAACTCTGGCCTTTTGTCTATCTCTACCTGTAAGACATTAAATTTCACACATCTAGTACATAAAATATATTTTTTTGTTTAAAGATAATGATTAAAATTTATGTTAGCTCGGTGTCTGATTTTTCTTTGGTGGAGGTGAAGTACGAGTATATTCTACTTAGCTTCATAAAATTCACAAGAATAGAAAATACTACATGATAAGGCATAGAAAGAAAGTTCTTTATTTATCCTCTACCATCTTTGGTTTCTTAAAAAAATATTACCAGCTTTTAAAATCTCCAGGTTCCATGGTACCCATTATTTTTTGAGCATTGTCATTCTCCTCCCTCTCCCCCAACTCCTGTCCATTTTTATAAAGAGAAAAGTGGCATGTTTAGATTCTGAGAAAATATTTTATAATTTTCATATAAATTCAGATCTTTTTATAGCTTTGCATATTTGAGTTGTAATAAACTCAGCTATCCACCTATGATTTATTCACAGAAATGGTCAGTCTGAAATCTATCTGTCCTGTCACCAAGCAGACACTCCTGTTCTGCTCTTTAGACTGTTTAGGGAGGTATGCAGATTCTTTCATATAATACTAATCTACCGACATGAAATGTGCCTTATTTGTTGTTTAGCTCTTTATATTTGTTTATCATTATGGTAATGGAAGGAAACTTTAGCTCAGGTAGTTCTAAGGTTGGCAGTATACAACAAATTATGTTGACTTTCATTTATCTTTGCAGGATCTACTACAAGTGACCAACTGCAAAACAAATCGCAGAGTTCATAGAAGAGATTTGTTCAGCACTGTAATTGTCAGATACAAATCCTGTTACTATAATACACTGCTTCTTGTTCTCTACAATTCATGACTTAAGTACCAAAATACATACCAGTTATTATATGTTGCCAAGAATTAAATAACTTTAGAGATTTATTAGACTGAAAATGCCTAATTGATACATATATTCTTGTGCCTAGTACTTCACAACAAATACAGCATAATATCAGTCCAAAATGTCATTACTTTTGTAAGAACACTGGTTAATTTGTATAAGATACTATATAGCTTTTTATGCTTTAGAGGTTAAACAATATCTTGGGTTTGGGGGATGGGGATCTAATTTATTCACTTCTAGATGTGATAGCTCTTATAAACTTTTTATTTTTTAATCAAAATCCAATTGGAACAACATTATATAGGCTGATAAAATAGTCTGAAAAGTGTTTTAGCACATCTTCAACTTAATTTGTTTAATTGAAAAGGATTATAAGAGTTACTGTTGCATTTTTTGGCCTACTACTACCTTTAAAATTCTTTTTGAGTTTCTTTATGTTTACAAGGAAAGGATTGAACTTTTTCTCACCAAAACTAGCTTTTTTCACAAATAAATTATCAGGTTAAACTTGCACTAATGTCTGCTCCTTTTTGTACACTCGATGGGCAGACTTCAGATCAGTTTTTAAACATAATATGCCTGTTTTAACCACCTGCCTTTGTTTCTTATTCCTTTCCACATCACACAATCCTTTACCTTTTATAAAGGATCATAAAGATTGTCATCACTTTAGGAACGCTTCCTTCTCTCACGTATTTATCATTTGCTGCAACCATGAAAATCTTATTTTGACTATCAATTCCTATTTTTTCTTCTAATACATGGAGAAAATAGATTGAATAGCAGCAGTACTATAGACAGGAAATACAGTTGAACTGCAGAATCTCTACACCTCTCTGATTTAGAGCTTGCTAATTAAATTGCTATTGCTAGTTTATTCTTTGACTTAATTAGACCTTAGAAAACAACTGAGATTTTTTTGCATGATGAGAGAATTGTGTGTAACCAGTGATATGATGATAGTTCCTGAATGTACAGACAAGTAATCCTGAACACTTTTTAATTTAAAACCTTTAATCCCTGCTTTAAGGGAATATGATAATGTATACTATGACAAATGTACTTTATTCTTCTAACACAGTAAAATTGAGATTTTTTTTTTGAAATGAAGTGCAGTTCCTGTGTACCTTGGTTTAGTGGTAGTTTCATTTCTTGTCAATTATTTGCATCTTAATTTTGTGTTAGTACCCAAAGACTCCATTATATGAACAGACTTTTTAAATAATTTCTGTATATTGTATATATGAAATGGCTTTTATTAAACAGCATATCTTCTACTTAGAAGTTTATGGAAATATCAGTATGTCAAAATAAAAAGTGAGAGAACTCTTTACTGAAGAATATTTTTATTTCGAATGTCATTTTTAAATGAGATCCAATCAAAGCACTTCGAACTGCAAGTATAGTATTCTGACTAAAACATGTTAACTAGTAATACCACAAAACAGTGTTTAGCTCTGCTTTTTGAATTTACAACCCATTTGGGAGTATTTAAGCTTATACATATGTACATATATATGTTCATAGACCCAGACTTCTGTTTCTGGTTTTCTCATTTTAAGTTTTTAGAAAGTATCCACATACTCTATTTGTAGAAATAGCTGCTGTACAGTGAAGAAAAGGTATGACCTTTAACAACTTTTGTTGTTTTCTACATACTGTTTCTTGAAACTTCAATCGCAGGCAAACTCATTTCTAATTTCAGGAAGCATAGATAGTTATCTCGGGAGCATAAGACATGGCAAATAGCATGCTCAATGGGATTTTATGTAGTCAAATGTAACTGAGTAAAGCTCTTTCATCAAGTCATGAGTTCCTAATTGACATGGTATTGGACTATAAAAACTGAACTTTTATGATTCAAGTTAGATTTTCCTTTGGAGAAAGTTACCTGTCAGTGTTCAGTACTAGGCAACGTAGATTTTACATTCAACTTTTTAATCAGTATCACTTCCTCTGCTTAACTCTTTTGGTGTCATCTTTTCTGTTCTTTCATGTTTCAGTCTGAAATTCAGCAGTGAAGCTCTTTAAAATCAGACATGTAATGGTATAAATGAATTTAAAGTAAGAATAACGTTAAATATTAAAGCAAAGTGCCATTTTCCCCTAGACTTTTATTTTGTTTACGTTTCCCTTTAAATTGATACACTAAACATATTGTAATAAAATACAATAATATGTCAATTGCCTGTCTGGATTTTACTTTCTTGGTACCCAGCTATCTCAGGACCATGTTCTATTGGCCACATGTTCTGAATATCAGGAGAGGCTCTGGGACTGTGCTGTGGCAGGGTAGTTTATTTAGTTTTGGTAGAAATGATAACGAGATACAATTTATTGGGAGCCTTTTATTTGCTCTTGTCCAGCATTTTACTAGGTCTCTAATATATCATCTTCAAACCAACCATGCAAAGAAGTTAACTCTTATCAGCACTTTGTAAATGAGGAAAATGCTCTTGGCCAAGTTATTCAGTCTCAATGTCTCATGCATGCTAAATTACAGGATTCAATTCGAGATCTAGCTATAAATTCCATGCTCTTTATGCATGCTTTTTTAGACAGGAAATTCTCTCATTTTAGAAGTTGTACCTTACAGATAAACTTTATTTGGATTATTGATGCATATCCTGTGCTTTAGGAGAGTTTTTATTTTTTATTTAACATGAAAAATAATTTGGAAATTACTTTGAGAATTATAAGCCATTTAGGAAAAATATCAAAAGCGCAAATACTCAGTGGCTGGAGATGTCTAAAGACAATGCATAGGTTTTGTTTGCATTCTGCAAGTATGTTTCTAAGCAGGATGTTTCAAACAATATAATTTCTTTCGAACTCAGAACATATCTTTCAGATACTGCATTTTTTTTTTTTTTTTGCAAATTAAAGGCAATCAGTGTTATAAAGTACCAAGCTAGCTTATGAAGACTAACATGTACCTAAGCCAGCATTTCCATGAAGCCCTCAAACCCACAGCACGTTCCATGAAAAAGTATTTCATGAGCAAATAAACTTTGCACATGGTATATACTTTATTCTACCCCTTGGAGATTTATAATAATGTACATCATTATATTGAAGGGCATGAGAAATCCTGCGTAAAGAGCCTGTTTAAAACTTGGTTTTACCTAGCATTTTTAAAACATTTTATCATAATAACTCCTCTCCCCTTAACCTCAAGTAGCATCCCAAATATGGGTAGGGAAGTAGGCCAAAGTCTCCAATATCATATAAAAGTTGAACTTCTTGAAAGAGGAAGAGAACAGTTTACCATTGAAAGAGGGAAGACATGGTCGCAATAACTGCACGGTGTAAGTTGCATATAATTTGCCAAACATAAGACCTTAATTTTTGGTAACCTAGTCAAGAAATTGTAAAATACATATCCAGGACAGATGATGGTATGGTTAATATGGTTGAGAGAAGCTGCTGTGGTTTAGTATTGATGTGACTACAGGCATACCTTGTTTTATTGCATTTCACAGTTAGAGTGTTTTTTTACCAATTAAATGCAAGACCCTCCACCAGCCCTGGGAAACCAAAATTGTGTGACTCGATTTATTGCAGTGGTCTGGAACCAAACCCATAATATCTGAGGTATGCCTCTTGCTCAAAGACTTGCTGCTTTAAGCAATTTTCCAAAACTTGTCCTCTCCATCTGCTCTTGCATAACTGGCTGACGAGAGCACATCTGCTACTCATTGGGAAAATAAAAGAGCAGATAGCAAAACTCCCTGGTTTGTGGATCATACCCCCAAGCCTTGGTTAGCTACCCTAGCAATGTGTTTTGGAGGGGTAGAAGATTTGGCTCCTACACTTTAAATTTGGGTTTGACTCATCTAGTTTTTTTATTTGAGGAATTGTTTGGGAGAGATAATGCTTGAGAGTAGGTGAGGGTGGGATTTGGCAAGTGTTTAGTCATGATTTTATCTCAACTGCCCAATCTGAATTTTTTTTCAGTGAGTCTGCCATGTGAGTGTTCAGCATTTCAATAGTATTACCAATGGGAATTGGAATTGGAAGAGAATGCCTATAAATTTGTGTTCTCTGTTTCTTTTTGGATTGATGACCAAGTGTTGACTAGAAATAGAAGAGGATTGTGCAGGCTTATCTTTCGTATTTAATATCATTTAACCTCACTTTTTAGGCAAAGAGGATTATATAGCTTTGCAGTATGCTTTGGTCTGATAAAATTGTTCAGTTGGAAAAAGTGTTAACCAATAACACCTAAAACAGGAAGAAAAAAGTTTAGTTTTTATTTAGTTACACTTTCCGGTATCTGAGTATGTCTAACATAAGCAATTACATAAAAGACAATGTATTTTCATCTCCCTACGTATAAGAGATACTCAAGTGAAAAGCAAGCACTTTATTGTAGGGCACCACGCCAAGCTAATTGAGAAATGTGAACATAAGACTCCCTGCCTTTAAAGATTTTCAAACTTTCATGTACATACAGAGCAGAGAGCACTGCTTTGGGGAAACGAGGGAGAAGTAAGCAATACACTTAGCTTCTCCAGCCATTCTTTGGAGGCCTTTCTGGTAAGGAAGGCTGGGCTAATTATAATTAGGAAGACTTTGTTTCTTCGCAGGTTTTTATGCAGTTTCCCTGAAAACCAAATTAAGATCTCTTTAGTCACTCACCAAAAAATTATTAAGCAAGCTAGATCCCACAGAAATCAGAAATGTCAAATGATTTTAACAAAACCTAATAAAAAATATTGGATCTCAGAAGTTGAACTTGAAGCGTATTTGTGGATTGTTGCCAATTATGCTTCTGCTGTCATTTTAGTAATCCCTAAATCAGTTTATTGGGGTTGGTAGGGTGGGGAGGTCTGGGTCAGGACCACAATTATGGGAGTCCCACTCTAGTTTGAACTCAGGAAATGTGTTCTGGTCCTGTGCTAAATTTGAAAAGCAAATCGCACTTCCCCAAGTTGCAGTGTCTTGAGTTTTCATGGTAAATCACAAAGTATGGAATCCAGTCTAGGAATGTTAAAAGCATCCCTGGGGTAGGGGTAGAAAGTCAGGGGGACGGGGGACAGATTGCAAAGTGAATTGGACCCAGAATAGTATTTTTTCTTATTATAAGCTTCAGGCATTTGTTCTGTAGACCTAGAGTCATCTGGAATATAGTCTGGATGAGGGCACACTGATAAATGGAAAGTTGAGGGGGAAAGATGTTTATTTTTTGAGAACATTATTAAACATTTATTAAGCACCAACTATATGCTCAGGAAGTTGCTGGACAATGTGCATGAAAATGTGCAAAAACAGTCCATTAGTAAACCTTTTTGACTCTACTTCCATTATGGTATCTTAAATCTCTCCCCTTCTCTAATCCCTACTGCTGTATCCTAGTTAAGCCATCATCATACTTTTCCTGTACTCCTGTACTCCTGTCACAACCTCCTAAGCGATTTCCCCACTTCTGTTATATCCCATTCCAATCCATTTTTCATAACAGCAAGTGTTGCTGCCCTACTAAAAGCCCTTCAGTGATTTCTCTACCACAC